CTTCACGCAGCGCAGTCACGGAATTCTGTTGAGCCAGTTGTACAAATCCTACACCTGTACAACGATTTATCGTGCCAACTGCCTTTAAAGGGTTCCACTGCTGAATGCGGGAGTGCATTCCAAAGCAAGACGCTTTAAGAGGACAGAATGCATGAATTATAGGCTGCTTCAGCGGCTATCCTAACAGGCTGCACTATTCCCGTGTAGGTTATGAACGTACCAGTCGGATCGCTGGCTAAGGCCGGCTCTCCTCCTTCTGTGATGCGGCGGGCGCTGCTGTTGCTTCTGCATCTTGGAGCGCCCAGTGACAGCTGGACGATCCGACTGGTATTCTTATAGCCGGAGCCAGACCTATCATTTTGCTTTTTCCATTCGTGCGCTCCTCTTCTTAACCATTCTAGAGAAGGGGAATACTGTTGCAATTTTTCTTAAACCGTTTCTACAACGAGCTGTGATAATATGGTGCACCAAGGAAGAAGTCACGGTGGTAGGTCTAAATCCGGTCTAGGTGGACTGTTATTCTGTGTGTGAGAACCAGCAGAAGAAGAAATGATAGTAAAGGATTGGGTAATCGAGCACTAACAACAGAACAGAAGGGGACAAGACAATGGTGGTTTGCCGCATCTCCGCACTCATCTCATCTATCGCGCAGCGAATACTCAATGGGCATCAGTTTGTCGGATAGAACGCGAAACTCATATGAGTTCAAACAAAGGCAAGATCCCATGACGAGCTATATCGAAATTCGAATTCGAATTCGATATAGCTCGTCAAATTCGCCCACACCAAGTAAAAAATGGGGAAAAATCAGATAATGAGTTGTTTTGTTACGAGCCGCCACAAGAACCATCAAGCTGATAGGGCGGAATTGATGGCGTAGAGGACAGCGCACTGGCACGGGGAAAGTGAAATGCGAGTTAGAGTACCGCATGGTGTCGAGGCTTTGACCCAAAAATCAGCCCTCGCATTCTTGTGATGTAATCAGCTGTCTGTGCGTGTGTGTTCATCTGTCTTTGCCACAAAATTCAAAGCTCGGGTTGTTTTCAAGATGTAATGCAGGGTCTGGGAGCCACAAAATTCAAACTCTGGTCGCAGCCATTGTGCGACATTGGTTTCAGGATGTATTTCATGCTCATCGAGAGCAGCTCACACGGTCAGCGGAGGACGTGCTCTCAAAGAAGTCACACTGGAGATGATAATAATGGCTTTCCGATACGGTGAACGATATCATGGTGCACTGGCAAAGCAGAGGGGTGTCTAGGTTCAGTTAATGTCATGCTGACTTGATGAGAAGGTTGGTTCTGGAGGATCTCGCCACAAGTAAGTGAAATGCTTCACTGTTTCCCGAACTACATCATGAGCATATCCGATTCAGGGAACGAAGATCAACGCAGGACTTCTACTGTTTCCTCTACTCTTTTATATCTTGCAAGAAGCAGGTTCTATTAAGGTGAGGTTTGCAAGCTTTCTCTGAATATAGGAGCCGACAAACACACAGCTGAAGTCGTTTGGGAGGAGGAGGCTGAGTCCGTCTGACTTCAGGCTTCGGTTCTATGTTACGTTCGAACATTGGAGAGGGAAGGCATAGAGGTGTTTCCACATACTTTCTCGGCCTCGAACTGCTAAGAGCGGTTGGATAAGAGTAATAATTGCCACGCACCTTTTTCCTTCTGAGCTTCATCGCCTGGCATCCGGTCAAAAATGGTATTCTGATTGGTTTCATGCGTATTTCGTAGCGAAGATCAAGCGATTGCAAAGATAAAAGTGGCGCGTGTCCTAATTCCACACCTTCGTTTCCGCGCGAACAAGGCTCAGACGAGCAGACACGACGTGCTTAACAACTTAGACAGGCGCGTCACGGCGTGCACCACCCTCTTCTTCAAACTACATTTGCCGCGGAAAGGGGAATCCATTTCCACTCAGTTGAAAGTACTGTTATGCTTAATCTCAAGCTTTCCATATTAAACCAACCCTCCGACTATGAATTGGCTCCCCAAATGAAAGCTGCATCGTTAACGGGTGATAGTGATTCTTATCACTGCGCCTTTACTTCTCCACTTATCCCTGTTCTACCTAGTCTGGTTAGCTGCGGCGGATGAGGGATGTCCTGGGCGGGATCACTTTGGCACGTCGCCAAATTCGTAGTTTTTCAGTGTTGAAGAGGGTAAGCGTCAACTATTGATAGAAAACGAGTGATACAAATGACATGATACAGCCTTGTTCTGCTTCTCAACAAGTGGTAAAAAGCGGGTTTGGAGCCGCGCCAAACTCATACCGCAGCACACAGAAGGCCTTCAGCCAAAGAAGGTCAGACGAGGAGTTAATCAAGTAGTGTCTCTTATAATGAAACAAAATCTCAATCCTGGCCTTGGATCAAATGTTGGATTGCCTCCCGTCCGGTCAGACAAGCCTTCCTCGGTTCCTCAGTCAGGTGATCGCTGCCAGATTAGCCTAGGATGATGAAAGCGCAAAGTCCTCGCAATTTGTTGTAAAGGCTATATCACATTGAAATGGGTTGAATGGATCTGGGCACATAGCGAGAAGAGATTCGCAGAGCGCTGGACCCCATTAGTTTTATCGAAGAGTCCGTTTCGAAGCAGCGTTCAGACTTCGCGGAGACGCGATGTAGCGCGCTTCAATCGCAACAGAGAAGCTAATGCAGCCGTAGACGGGAATCGATCGCGCTGCTCTCCGAGATCTAAACGCCGCCTTGGGCTGAGCTAATACTTGCGGCAGCTTCCAACACTGACCAAAAGCATCCACTACCGTCCCGATTGCCAGGGAAGTAGATATCGATCTAGCGTCTGCCAGCGTCTTCCAGTGACCGGTAGCACTCACTAGCGTCTACCAGCGTCCACTAGCGTCTCGACTGCCAGGGAAGTACAGCTGCCAATCTAGCGTCTGCCAGCGTCACGGAGTGGAGAGTATGGGAGGGTAGAGGAGGGTAGCACACACCTGGTACAGCGACTGGCGCGATAGGAGACAGCTAATGCCCTCCTATCGCGGCATATTCTCTACCACCAGTCTGCTGCTGGTCTTTAGTGGACGCTGGTGGACGCTGGCAGCAGCTAGACCGATACCAATACTTCCCTAGCCCTCGAGACACTTTTGGACGCTGATAGACGCTGGCGGAAGCTGGTGGACGCTGCCGCAAAGTATGAACCCGACCTTAGCTAACAAACAATGAATCGTGCTTCCAGGTTCATTATCACCACAATGACTCGATGTCGGTAGTGCTAAAGCCAACATGGGGCTTCACGTTTGGTGAGAATTTTGCGGAAAATAGCCCCACTTTCATGGTTGTTTGCGATTCGTGCACTTTTTCAGAGTACACGTTAGCGACGGAATCACCGAGAACGGACTGGTCACAGTCAGAGACATCTAGTGATACCATAGAAAGTGTTGAACGACCACGATACAAACGGAAAAGTGGGCTCCACTCGCTCCCAAATGAACCTAAAACTAAATCACACCAACGCCGACCACGACCTTGGCATAATGCAGTGACTACTCGTTCGAAACGTAAACCCCTCCCTTCAAGACCGCCAGCTCTTACGGCCTCAAATGCAACAAATGCAACAGCAGAAACGACGCCAGAAACGACGCCTGACGAGTCACTTAATTCATCATCTACTGCAGCAGAGCCTGGTCCTACATGGATAAAATCGTCACCGAAAAGACCTCATTCACCCTCACGTCCATCGACAACTCCACCTACCACTACAACTTTGGCTACAACCACAACTTTAGCCCCTACCACAACTCTAGCCCCTACTACAACTCTCGAACCAACTACAACTACAGAACCACCACGTACTAAACCTCCGCACGCCCGTAAGCAACTCAATCAGTCCTCAAACCACTACCATCTCTCTTCCACCTAGAGCCACCAATAAACCCCCTCGACCACAAACAACTGCTCCTACACATAAACCACCTCCTCGACCTTCTCGATCTCCTCCACCGTCCCCTCCACCAGCATCATCTAGTGAAACAACGCGTCACGCACCCGTCTCAACAAAACATCATCCACCTCCAACCGCCAGAAGTACGCTCATACAACTACTCGTTTCAACTACTGCATGAAGAAGGTAAGCACCTAACAAACGCTACTGGAAATCGGTGATTCTTTCTTCTGTCCAATCCGAGATATTTGCGACACACCCTTGACTATCACGGTTTTCGATATTCGGGTCAGAACTCTAATTGATCTTCCAATTTGCCCCAGTGGTAGCTTACTCCCTGAACTCGAGTCGATCGCACTCGGCAGGACAACGCTTGGCGCCAGAGACGCAGGCGTCAAATCGCGAACCTGTTTCGACGTCGATGTGTGTGCTGAAAACCTAGCGAAATGCTAAGGCAATTTGAAGAATGGGAAGGCAATCCTGGTCGACTGCGTTGGGCTCCGTTTATACTTTGCGGCAGCGTCCACCACCTAGCATTACCGTTTCGAGTGTCCGTAGCGTCAGCGATCAGGGGAATTATTGATATCGATCTAGCGGACGACAGCGTCCACCAGCGTCCGCCAGCGTCTAGAGGAACCAGGAAAGATG